TTACATTTTTGACGGTTTTTTGGTAACCTTGGTAAGGTTACAGCATAGAATAATCAAACGAAGGTTGGTAATGAACAATAATACTTAGGACAAGAACAACACATATAAGAATCTTCAGCGGAGCGTAGAATAGTAGTCAACTGCTAGAAGTGAGTCAAGTGAATTCTGCAATGAATCTTAAACTGCAGGATATCTACCAACCGACCCACGCGGTCAGATGTGGCACAAGGCCGAATTTAATGTGGGGTATCCGAGCCTGTAATCTCGGCCAAAAATTCCTCGTAGATCCCGTATAAAACAGAGTCAAGTAGCTACTTCCCTAGACGAGACTCTGCACTTCAACATAGCCTCGTCTGGAGATCCTTACCGCCTCGAGGCAGAGAGTGTGATCAGAACAGCTAGAGATGAATCACCAACTGCAGAATATCTACCAACTGCCCCACGCGGTCAGATAAGGCACAAGGCCGAAATTAATGTGCGGATTCCGAGCCCGTAGGCTCGCCCAAAATTTCCTTGTAGGCCCCGTATAAAACGAGGTCGGTTAGCTGTTTCCCGAGACGAGACTCTGCCTTTCGACATAGCCTCATCTGGGGATCCTCTCTGCCTGGAGACAGAGAGTTTGACCAGCAGAGCTGGAGACGAATCTCCGACTGTATGCCAATATAAAGTATTTACTACTGTATTTATGTGACTGGGGACATACCTATTATCGTCCTTAGGTATCCTACAACAATTTTACTTCTCATGGAAGCAAATAAACGGAAGGAAGTTCCACAGGCGAGAAGTGCGAGAAGAGGAACTGTTAGAGTAGAATGGCGGTTGCATTTAGCTATTTCAACTGTAAATTGGTAGGAACTAGATAACAATCTACTGGTAAGCTTAAATTCATGCAGTCGAGACACCAGGGAGAACATCTCGTTCAAGCTGCTTAAATTAAAACAACTATCGGTGTTTATATTGTGTAATATGGCACCGGTTTTTTTGTGTTTTTTTTTTTTAGTTTTTTTTATATTTTGATTTTTTTCTCATTTCACCTAATGCAAGGCGCAAATACAACTATTACGCAGGGGGTTACATAGAGTGAAAGTGTAGAGAAAAGACTGAGTATAGGGAGGATTGGTGAAAGGAAAAAAGATTAACGGGATACAACAAGAGATGAGATGGCGACTAAATTTCACCCAGTACAATGCACGTGAGGCATTCAAGACAGAGGTTTACTACTAATATGGTTAGGATGAATTAGGCGTGCGTGCCTGATGTGAATGTAAAATGAGAAATGAAGATAAGCAGGGCACCAGTTGAACCTTGACTTAGATAGGTTAAGCAATTTAGAGTGTAGAGAAACACCCATGAGAGACTTTGTTCGATAATGTTGCAGTTATTGGAGGTCGGAAGCTGACGAAATAGAAATTTGTCTTTACTTTAGGAGTACAGCGATAATGTGGGTGATTCGATACGGTGATTGCATTATCAAATGTTTAAAAAGAAACATTAGGAATACAGCGATAATGTGGGTGATTCGATATCGTTATTACATTATCAGGTGATGAAAAAGAAACATTAGGAATACAGCGATAATGTGGGTGATTCGATACCGTGATTTCATTATCAGTTAAAAAAAATACTCTGCGAATAATGCGATTATGTGGGTGATTTAACAGCGTGATTGTTAACAGTAAATGTCTGAACAGTTGTTACTAAAGAATGAAGTGATACGAACATTTTCAATGGAAAAAGCAATAGAGCATTGCCACGCAACAAAAACAGACTATCATTGTTATCCGTCTGTTGGTTGAGACATTGAAATGTAATTGTCATCTTTGATAATAGTTTATATATATATATATATATATATATATATATATATATATATATATATATCTTTTAATTTCAGATATATATATATATATATGTAAGCAAATTTATGGATATAGATCCGACAGTATGAAAGAAAAATACAGAAAAAACAAACAAAAATCTGAATATGCAATTATGCTGTATTAATGTTAATATAAAGTCGACGTCGGACGTTTCGGTCTATTTAAGACCATCTTCATGGACATTTTCATTTAAACATAATTAACATTATAACTTATAAAATACTCATACTGTCGGATCTATATCCATAAATTTGCTTACATTCTGTCTTCTGGAAATACAAACCTGAATTTATTTTATAACGTGGAAGACTTCAAGCTTGGACGAGATTATAAGAATCTGTTGATCAAGTAAGGAAAGGATTTATTATCGAACTGTTTTTTAGAACTGTTCCATCGTTTTTGAAATCATTTTTTGATTTGCCTTGTAACGGGAAGGACTTCAAGTTTGTTGAAGATATAAGAACCTATGGATCACTACGTATTCCGACATCAACGGAAGAGATTTCTTGAACTGTTTATACAAAATTTTTCAATCGACTTTTTAATATTTTAATTTTTGGAAATCATCTTCGAATACGTTTTAACAACATCGCCCACGTGACGACTACGTGATCATATTTAAACGGAACGCTGATCTGTATAAAATTTCAGTTATCTGTTATGTCCATCGTCTTTTGTGTTAAATTTTTATATGTTCTAATGTTAATTATGTTTAAATGAAAATGTCCATGAAGATGATCTTAAATAGACCGAAACGTCCGACGTCGACTTTATATTAACATTAATACAGCATAATTGCATATTCAGATTTTTGTTTGTTTTTTCTGTATTTTTCTTTCATATATATATATATATGAACAGTTTTATTTTAGCAATATATATATTCTTAAAGAAAGAAAAATATATATATATATATATATATATATATATATATATATAAAGTTCAACAATTATTTTAAGACATTTTTATGTTTATACATTCTTCTTCGAATCCTGTCGGAGGACGAATATTTTCTGTGAAAATTTCTCGAACATTCATGCCGGTAAATGTTGTTTAATACTGTTTATTATAAACAGAGCATTTACTTAAATAGTTGTATCTATAAAAAGTATGTATAAACATAAAAATATCTTAATATATATATATATATATATATATATATATATATATATATATATATATATATATAGATAGATAGATAGATAGATAGATAGATAGATAGATAGATATCTTCATAAATCATTCTGAAAATAATACTGACAGCAAAAGGAAATTAATTAACACCTCTCCACCATAAAATAGAAATGCCTATCAAAATAACCTCAACAGACCGGAGGGAAACGTTATCTTTTCTGGCTGATTCCCCGATAACAAAAATTCAAATGAAGCTGGGGAGAAACAAAGTTAATCTCTCTTGTCCCTTTATAAATCTACCATTCACTCAATCATTGAACATTTGGGGATTCTTTAAAAGATTCTTTAAGGAGTAATTTTTTGTATATTTAAGGCAACACACACACACACACACACACACACACACATACACACACACACACACGCACACACGCACGACATTCCCTGCTCACAACTTAGCATCTACGCGGAAGACACTAGCATTAACTGCCGCCTCGATACTAAGGCTGTCAGTCCGACAAGATCAAAATGGCAGCTGATGTATAAAACGATCTCAAGATCGTCATTAACTGTGGCAAATGATGATCTAATCTCCAAAACTAAACTTCTCTCCATTAATCATCTGAGAGTCCCTTCTCTACCTTCCATGGCTGATGCAATTACTACAAGAAACTGATTCATTGCACCTTTTCGGGCTAACGTTCTCAGCTGACATGAGATGGACAGACTACATTGAATCCGCCGCTAGATCTAAAAAATCGGCTCAATTTGTCGAGCGAGACAATTTTTTTCTCTTGAATTTATCTTGCATATCTATAAGTCTATCTTTCATCCATGCTTTGAATATCATTACCATATATGGTCCGGTGCCTCTGCTACTTTCCTGGTGCCTATTGATAAGAAGACTCAGCAATATTATTGGTCCTGATCTCGTGGCTCAGCTTCAGACACTTGCCCACCGCCATAACGCTCTCTCTCTCTCTCTCTCTCTCTCTCTCTCTCTCTCTCTCTCTTATAAATACTTCCGTGGTAATAGTTCAAATGAGCCTTTTGCTATGGTACCTAGACTGTATGAATTTAAGCCCAATAATAGACTGGCGGCGAGATCTCACCATTTTACAGTTGACTTAGTTAGATATAGACGTAACTTCTATACTAACAGTTTCTTATAATCGTAGTTCTCGCTTGTGGAACTCGCTTCCGGTTCCATGGTTTTCATCCAAAATTAATCTGTAAAAATGTATATGCAATGTCAAATACCGTCCTCCTAAATGTTTCTTTCTCTTTCTACTTATTACTAATGTTTCTGTTCCTAATTTCTCCAAAGTCTTAACCCCTTGGATGCTAGTGCCTATACTGCCTTACTTGGGATGATAGCGATTAAAAAAAAAAACTTACTTTTTGAGCTGGCTTTCCCTGATACATAAATGAAAGCAGTAGTACTGATGGCTAGGATTTCCAAAGGTTCCCAAGCCTTCACCTGCAGTTGAAGTTGAAAAGCAACTCTTTCTTATTTACTCATGTAATAGAGCAGAGAAGACACTTCGTAATATTTGTCGCGGAACTAAGCCATGACATAACTCCGATGAAATGGCCCGGAGAATATGGTAACTGAGATATTTTGGGCTGAAAACTGCAACAATGATGAGAATAGTAAAAATAATGAAAAGAAAATTATCCACAAATATATCAACAAGTTAATTTCTAAATTCTCAAACCTAACTTCCATTCTAATCATTTTGCGTAGCATTTCTTTGTATACATGTAAAATTTATCCAATACATTTAATAATTGATATCATCTCTTTCATATCTGTTTGCATATGTTTGTAATATTTTGTTTACTGACTAATTTTAATTGAACATTTTGCGTTAACGACCTCAACACCTGCAGGCAATGAGCCATACAGAGATTTAGTGTAAAGTATTGAAGATATTTATCGTTCGGAAAAATATATACTTTGAATACAATGGGTCACATTCATCCTACCTTTGCATAGATAGATAGATAGATAGATAGATAGATAGATAGATAGATAGATAGATAGAAAGAGGAGAATAGGTAGATGCAATGAGGAGGATAGATAGATAGATGATAGATAGATAGATAGATAGATAGATAGATAGATAGATAGATAGATAGATAGATGCAAAGAGGAGAATAGATAGATGCAATGAGGAGGATAGATAGATAGATAGATAGATAGATAGATAGATAGATAGATAGATAGATAGATAGATAGATAAAGAGGAGAATAGATAGATGCAATGATAGAGGAGATAGATAGATAGATAGATAGATAGATAGATAGATAGATAGATAGATAGATAGATAGATAGATAGATAGATACGGTATGAGAAAACGAAATTACATTATCTATACTTAAATATATATTTATTCTGGTAAAATCAACAGCAGATAAATCATGGCCTATGTATGAAGGTCCCTTTTCAAAACTTCGATATTCTTCTTGGAAGTGTGTGAGGAATTTTGCTTCTCTCCCTGTAGGTCATGCGTTTATAAAACTTACTGCTGTCACGTTGTCTTTTTTAGCATTATTATAATTTCAGCTGGGGACATTTCTTTGTTTATAGACTAACGCTCCCATCACGTTAAAACACCTGTTCCCATACGATCACCGAGGTTAAGCAACGTCGAGCCTGGTCAGATTGGAAATGTTAGGTGTTGTAAACTTGGATGTTCGGTTGCTGTAATGGATAATGGCTCGGAATTGTTACTCGGAGAGCCGAGTTGCAATTTATATTTGTTATATTGACTTACGCGCAAATACCTATGGGAAAGGTATGAATCCTCCTCTTCTACTCCTGGCTTAAATCGCAGGGATGTTGTCATTTTCCATGTTGATATATTGGCCTTTATCTGTTATCTTCAATATCACATATTAAAATCGACTGGAATTGTGTCGACGAAAGCATGAATGCACTCCCAAAATCAACGTTTGGTCAAATCACTATGTTCCTCCTACCATGTGGTAATATATGTAAACTATCTTAAAAGTTAATAGATTTCCTGCCGAGTTACGATCTATGTTTTTTTTCTCTAGAGATAGAAAAAGATAAATATGTATAGAGAGGAAGTGAAGAAGAAATGAAAATGTTGCAGGGGCTGGAAAGGCTGTGCTTTCTTATATCGCCAAGAATCACGAGTAAAATATCCCTTCACAATTATCAAAATATATTGTAGATTTTGAGTTGGGTGAACAGGAGGAAAATTAAAAAGGAAAAAAAGTAAATGAAGATTGTCATTTGAAGCAGTAACATCATGAATGCAGGCCAGACTCATAATAATTGAAGAACTACATGGCTCACACACTTCTCCCCAGCTTTTGAACAGAAGTAGCGGTTTATATCTTGTTTCATGTTTAGGATTTGGTTTCTGTTTCCTTGTAAAGGTTGTTTTTACGCTATATATATATATATATATATATATATATATATATATATATATATATATATATATATATATATAACGTCACTGCCTATTCTCTGGAGTTCTATTTACTATTTATATTTATTTCCATTTTATTAATGTATTTTCTTCTATAGGATTAGACTGGTTCGCCTATCGCCAGGTCCATCTTTTGAACAGGTGTAGAGATTTATCTTTTGTTTCCTATTTAGGCTTGGGTTTCCGATTACTTCTAAAGTTTCCTTCCACACTTTACATCTAATATCTCCGTCTAAACGCTGACATTTTTTTTTTTAGTATTTATTTATCTACATATATATATGCATATATATTTATATTACAATGTATCATTCACACAAAAAGTAAATTAGTAAAGTTAATGGTATAAAATGGTGAAATCCCTTCGCTAACAAAATTTTAAAGTTACATTAAACTACAAATCACTCGATGAATATTAGGATCCTTGTTTTTAAAAATTACAAGCTGTATAAGGTCTTTCTTTAATACGCAAGTACTTTCAACTGTACATTCTGTCATCTTCAGGCATGGAATTTTTTTTTTTTTTCGTAAAATTCAGGTAGTAACCGAGGCGAAAAAAATATAATGCGAATCGAAATATGTTCTTTTTTTTTTTTTTTTTTGAAATGTGTTATTGTTAACAGATACAAACTTTGGAAGCGTGTAGTGGCAACGCTGAGGTTGAATTTTTTTGAAAATTTACGAGAGTGCGTTTTTTTAATAATATGGCAATTTGAGAATTTTTTTTTTGTTGTTATTGTAGGACTTTATCAGTCAATGTGGTATGAACTAAATTGTTCAATAGACAGAGTAATGTCTCAGTTGTTATCCCAGTTGTTATATATATATATATATATATATATATATATTTTTTTTTTTTTTTTCAGCAATAGTATTAGATAGCTGCGTCTATGGTCCGGCTAGCACTCATCCACAATCTTTTGAACAAGAGAAGATGTTTACACATTGTCTCCTCTTTAGGAATGGGTTTCCAATTTCTTCTAAATTATTTTCCTTCTCCTTCACTTCCAGTAGTCAGTTGCGTCTTATTTGCATTATCGCATTGCTTGGGGTGAATTGATTTTATTTTAAGCCTCCGCCCCTGCCCATAAAAAATGTAGAAACTACTTCCTCTTCTCTCTAGCTATCATAGGTGACTTGGCAGGAACAGCAACCGTATTCAACTAAGACATAAACCATTTCGTACCAAATTAACAGTGATAATCTCTTACTTTTATTTTGAATGAAAGATTTTGTCTAAACACTGGAAATAGCACTTCAGCAAAATTTTCCTATTTTATTTACGAAAATACGAGGAACATTTGCTGAATATTTTTTTTTTTATATTTATCGTTTTAAATCTCATGCTTCATTATACCTCTCCTTTTTAGAATATGCATGTATTTATTTACGGGCCTGTGGCTGTAGTTAAAACGATTGTTTTTTTAGCAATAGGCGATTTCACAGGCGTGTTACTTGTTGATATTATCAGACAGGGAAAGGGATCCCATGGCGCAGTATCTTTGGAAAGTTCCGCGGATTAGCCCAATTCTTGCGAGTGAAATTGGCTAACGGAACTGTAGATAGTAGCGCTCGCACCGAGTCGCAAGTCATCGTAACTGAGGGTTTGAGAGTCCAAACAGTTGATCAACATAAATGCAATAAAAATCACAGCTGGGCTCTATTGGTGTTTAACAAATATGAATATGCCTGAGCAAAAGTAGGCGGCAGGGATTTAGCTAGCAACCCAAACAAATAGGTGTACATGGAAATTAGTATTCAGCTATTATTTATATGTGTATATATGTATGTAAATTGAATCATTCTTTCTTTATATGTGCCGTCTCCATTCTGGACACATGCGGTCATGGCTCTCCTGCACTTACAGCTATTAACAAGTTCCTTACCTCTACCACCTCCCTAGACTACATTCTGTCACCCACTTGCATAAGGCCGCCATGTATGCCACGCATTGTTTTCCCTTGTTTCTCTTTCCCTCTATTCGACCCGTGAGTATCTGATTCGCCAAGCCCTCCTTCCCCATTATGTGCCCCAGAAACCTCAGCTGCCTCTTCGTGATATTAATATAAGCCTTCATCTTGTTTGCACCCTCTCTAAGACCACACCCTTGCTAACACACTCGATTCATGATATCATTAACATCCTTCTGCAGAACCACATCTCCGTTGCCTCGAGTCTATTCTTCATTTTTGGGGAAATCGTCCAACATTCGCTGCCGTAAAGAAGGTCAGATGTCACGTAACAGCCCAGTATTCTTTTCTTCGTTACCAAAGAAATCCTTCTGCCCCGCAATATTCTGTCTAGCTTTAGGAATGTGTCCTTCACAATCTCACTATTCTATTTATTGCTGTCGTGGTTTCCGTAGTAGGTAGATCTATTGCATTCTGAAATAAAGAAGAAGTGAGGCATATCTTTCGAAGCTCCAAATGAATAAACTGATTTCAAGTTAAAATGTAAAATGTAAATATTACTTAAAAGCAATATAATAGTTCAATATAATTTTCTATTATTATTTCAATTATGATACATGTTATGAATATCATATTTAAGTCATCTATACATTGCTTATTATAATTTTTTTCAACTTATTCCGGATTTACCGTTTTTTTATTATTATTTTTATATATATTTATTATTTTTTCTTTTGTACAACTAACCTGAAGATCGTTTCTCTTATTGTCATTTTTTTTTTGCTTACATAACGTTATTTATTAGCTTTTAATGTTCTACTCACGTTCATTTTTATCAATTGATAAATTAGGCGTTCGTACTGTCAAAAAGTTAGTATAAATTATTTTATTTTATGCTATAAAAATGACTTCATTAATTCGGAATATTTTATGATGAGATCCTGATTTATATTTTCATTCTTCTTTTTCCAAAATTGACAAAATTTTTCGATATTTGATATTGTCTATTTATGTCAGATTATTCCGTAATTTGTCTTCCTCTTAAGCGTTTTGGCTTATCTAACGTTTTCTCATTTTTGTTTACATAAGGATTTATATATTTAGAAACTCGTTATAGTTTTGATACCTTCTAAATCACATAATATATATATTATGCTTATATACGTACGTTATATTCCGAAGATTGAAAAAAACTGGGTGTTATAGTGGGGGACAAGTTTCTACTATCTATACAATGGTTCCGTGGAATGCGTCTCAAATAGTCTATAGCAACAAATTCATCTAAAAGCCGGAGAATGGGCGAGAGCGAACAACTGGCGCCTCATAACCAGCAACTTCGGATAGATGCAACTCAACAGCCCAGGAAGCCCCTACATCTATGGAAATCCTATTTTAAAATTCCGCTACCTTGTGGTAATATCCAAACACGGAGAAGGCTATGGCAGTAAACCAGAAAGAAAATCCGTATTGGAGCTGCGAAGGCGGTTAACTGTCATCACTGACAAATTTCCAGCAACTCCAGCAGTCATGCCTGCTCCAAAAGTAATGCTTTGTTTTCTTTTAGAACTTTTACATACGGTAGCGAGGTGGAGAGGCATAGAGCAATGTCCATATAACATTTCCAGGCCTTCACCCTCATCACCAAAAGACTGAATTTTCACCATGAAGGACGCAAACATTGCAAAAAAATATATCGGTTCTAGAAAAAATGAACTTAAAATAAGGCGGATATAACACCTAAATTTCTTCAATAAAATTAGTTACCGAAACCAGAAGTCCCTATCCAAATATTTTTGGCATTTAAGAGAAACAAATAAAACACCAACAGTAGAATAGAAAATAATAAATGGAACAAGAATTTGTAGAACTTTGGATGGTCCATTATCTTTGTCTACATGGAAAGCTATGCATTATTATATTTCTGAAAAACAAATATTTATAAAAATCAGAAAAATGAAATACCGGTTTTCTGTAGACATTGCATTATACACGCCTTAAAAAATAATTAATCCATAAAGAAATAAAGCACACTTATTTATATCTATTCTTGTTTAAAAAATAACAAAAAATTATAGCAAGAAATTAAATCCTAAAAAATAAAAAAACACACAAAAGCATATATAGTCTATTAGCAAATTAAATTAATTTTAGACATGTACAAAATTTATCAAATTAAAAATATAACACAAACATATATAAATATTCCTTTAAGAAACTATCAAATTAGTCGTATAGAGAAGACGATAGACAAATAAATAACCACACAAAAACACCCTAATAAAAAATAGGAACTCTCATAACTCCAACATTTTCAACTAAAAATAAAGTAAACCTATTTCTCCCTAAATTATTATTAACATCGCTTTAGAATGAAATCGTGCTCTCAATTTTAAGTTTTATTTTGAAATTAAAATTTAAGTCTTGAGTTTCGCTTTCGAAACACAGTAATTTCTGTGACACTGTTATGGTCCGGTTCCTTGTACCACGGTGATAGTCCAAGGTAGAACCAATAAAGAAGAACAGGGATATGGAATAACACCGATATATTACAAACAGGAATATATACAGAGAAGTAAAAGTGTTAGTATGAACAATCAGGTTTAGTAGAGAGAACAATGTAGTCTCGACCAGTATCACTATTCCAATGTCTTGCAGTAATTGTCTGAACGCGACTCTGTTTCGGACTGCCTCTGACTCGACTGACTGACTCGCTCGCTCTGACTGACTGACAGACTCCTGACGGACCTCTGACGGACCTCACTCCAGACTTCAGACTGAACAGTATTTAGTCACCCCACCCACGAGGGCATCGTGTGGCACAAGGCCGGTTTAACGTGGGATCTCCGAGCCCGTGGGCTCGGCCAAAAATATGCCCTTTGAACCCGTATAAACGGGTGCAAGATCGGTTTACCTTCCCGAAAGAGACTCCGCTCTTCGGCGTAGCCTCGTTCGGGTTCCTCCAAGCCCGAAGGCAGAAAGTTCAGTCGATCAGCCGGTCAGCCGGTCACTCGACTTCGGACTGAACAGTATTTAGTCACCCCCACAACGAGGGGATCATATGGCACAAGGCCGGTTTAACGTGGGATCTCCGAGCCCGTGGGCTCGGGCAAAAAATATGCCCTTTGAACCCGTATAAACTGGTTCAGGGTCGGTTTACCTCCCCGGAAGAAACTCCGCCCTTCGGCGTAGTATCATTTGGGTTCCTGCCCGCCCGAACGCAGAGAGTTCAACCGATCAGCCAGTCGCCCGACTTCGGACTGAACTCCCTGCTTCCTCTTGAGGTGCAGTATTTATTACGTATGGAATAGTCCATTATGTTATTATGAGTAAGGTCCCATAACAGACACGACAGAAACATATTTATATATATATATATATATATATATATATATATATATATATATATATATTCACCCCAAACAAAACAAGACGGGGGCCACTTGCACGTAAGGGGGTGCAGAGAGTGGGAGCAAGGGTAAAGTAACGCGAAAGAAGAAAAGATGAAGAGAATAGATTAAGGATCTACACACACACACACACACACACATATATATATATATATATATATATATATATGTGTGTGTGTGTGTGTGTGTGTGTGCGTGTGTGTGTGTAATTGACAATAATTTCTCTAGGCTAAAAATAAAATTTGTTATAACTATACTAAAACAATAAATGATATAATTAATAAAAAACAAGGTGGAATTTATTCTATCACTCTATAGCATACATAGGAGAAATATCAATGAATTTAAATAAATATTATATGAATAAAAGGGATCTTTTACAAAATAACATGTAAAATGCATTTGTTGATCAATGTAATGAGTCTGGCAATAATTTTGATTTGAAAAAGCTACTTTAATTAGAAGAGAAATCAATATGCTATGACGAAAATATATAGAAAGTACTTTTCGCGCCCGATCACCCACAATAAATTTACATAAAGATTCTCACAATATTTCAAATTACTTGGCAGATTTTTTCTATCACAATGTGGAATATTTAATAACAAAAGTGATCAAAAAAAGTAAAACAAAAAAAAATTATCTAAATCTAGATTATTTACCAAAAATATATATGAAAGATCAAAAAATTAAATTTTGAATGTCTCTTCTGCATCATACACATATGTTGCATCAACATAAACATCACTTTAATCTGATGAAGGCTTAAAGAACGAAATGTGTTCCATGAAACTGTTCTCTACTTTGTCATAGATACTCCTAAAGTTGTTTATATATATATATATATATATATATATATATATATATATATATATATATATATATATATATAAATAACGCTTTTAAACAAGAATCCTCATATACTAAATACAATCCGCATTTAGCAACGTATCTGGTAATAGGACAATGTGAATGAATGTGGACTGGTAATTGTATGAATGGTAAGAATTCTAAGTAAGCATGACAAGTCTAAGACAAGTTTCGAATGATGTTTATTGCTAAGCGCACGTGTTTCCTTTCTCTTTTGCTTCCTTCCATTGCAACTATTCATTATCTATCTATCTATCTATCTATATATATATATATATATATATATATATATATATATATATATATGCACTGGAAAAAAAGCGAGCATATATTGAAAACATACAAAGTTGGCACAAATATATAATACATAAATTCCATATTGTTACGACTGCGAATTAACATTTTAGACATGACTATGTGTAGACGAAAAATAGTTCACATAATTTAATATTACTCTATATGTACTTTCAAATCCAATAATAATATATCAGTGAAAACAGCATTTCCCATTATTAGCTGCGTTGTGATTTATTGGAGTATAAAATAAATATTTTCTTGAATCTAAAGGTTTCTTTGTTGAATGATATCAATGCTATATGCGCAGTTACGTTGAAAGTCGGTTCATTCTGCGCTGAAGTAAACAAACGGAAGCTATTAGTATGAAATGCCGCGTTTAGAATTTTAAAATTAATGGTCATGTTGAGAGATCCAAGCAGTAAAATGGGTCGTAAAAAGAATTTGACTCATAAAAAGAAATGCTTTCTAATGTCAGTCAGTGTGAAAATCCAAACGAACGCTAGAAAGAGAAAAATGATATCAAGGCGAATAATCAAATGCTGATCTAATAAGGATATGATAACAATATATATATATATATATATATAGATAGATAGATAGATAGATAGATAGATAGATAGAGAGATAGATAGATAGAGAGAGTGAGAGAGAGAGAGAGAGAAAGATAGATTTGGAGAAAGTGAATTGTAAAAAGCTTTAGGCTAGATATTAATTTGTCAAACATCAATTATGGAAAAATATTTCCGTCTACTTAAACACGTTCAACCAATTAAAAAAGTATAACCGTTTAAATAAAAACAATACCAGCTAAGAAACATAAGATTATATATATATATATATATATATATATATATATATATATATATATATATATATAGAGGAGAGAGAGAGAGAGAGAGAGAGAGAGAGAGAGAGATAGAGATAGATAGATAGATAGATAGATAGAGATAAAGTTAAGGTGTTATATTCATGGGTTAAAGTGACCAGTATCGGGAATAGAGTGTATGGAAATATAAAAGCGATATTGAAGTCCACAAAAAGACGTGACAATCTGTTTCATGCTAAAATGAATCCACATTGCCTGACTATTGACTGTTGTTGTTGAATTCAATGACCACTTTCATATATATATATATATATATATATATATATATATATATATATATATATATATATATGTGTGTGTGTGTGTGTGTGTGTGTGTGTGTGTGTGTGAGTGTGAAAGAGAGAGATCGAAGGTATATTAATTATCTATGATCCAAATTTTAAATATATATTTATTTGGGGACAGCATATAGAATATGACCCCCTATCATCCAATATCCATTGTGATTGATGCTCTAGTCGTTATGTAGACAAATCTGAATTCATGTTCAAATTGGTACCGTTTATTATTTATGCCTTCTCGTGTTAATATCAAACAATTTTTATTATATCAGTATATCTATCATATATAAATTAATATACTAGTGTGAAACTATTTAGGGATGCGTGAAAAAAAGGCGAGAATTAATTTAGGTGATAAGAAGCTATCACGAAAAGAAACTGAGCGATGTTATTTTTCTAACAAATAAAAGTGGTAAAGATTTTATTTTCATTAACGAAGAAAGTAAGATCTCGGATCTGTCGGATTCAATTTGATTTATATTACGACGGAGCGAATAAAAGATAGCCGTCTGCCCATGGCAATAATGAAAATTTCGAATTGGTCAAGTTGCCTACAAAACAGAATGCTAAGAGACAATATTCATTAGGTCACGCACTGACCGAGAAAAATGTCAGCTGGACCAACCACAAGTTACAAAGAAGGAAAGATTAAACCATTAACTGTCTGCGGAGATATCATTTGAGAAAACACCTGTTTCATATCAGAGCTGGCCAAGATAAAAAAATATTTTATCGGAACAGATAATTGGCAACAGAGTGAGGAAAATCATTGGCCAACCTCAATGATTATTTGACGAAAATTTCGTTGACGAACTCCAGATGAAATTCGGATAAGATAAAGATTAGGGACTATCCTACGAGTCGTGTGAGGTCTGCTCGTGGAAGAGAAAGAAAAATAAAAAAAGGAAAGAAGAATATTTTTTTCCTTTGAGCGATAATTGCAAACACCCACGCTGCTGAGCGTTCATTGGATGAAGAGTGGCGCGAGCGGTAGGCGAAGGTAAACTATGAAGAAGGAGGGTAGGCCTGTTGACGTTGGAGGTGATCTGGGAACGACAAGGCTGATACCGATTCTAACCGGATTCCTATCCCAATCAGCAAAAGGGTTAGAACGTCACGTTTGGTGCCGCGACCAACACCAAGTCACATTGGTCGTCGCAGGATAGACGGAGTGTGGGGCAGAGTGGCAGACGGGGTGACGTCACACTAGTTAGATTATTCGGACTATTATCCTCATCTTTGATGCCATATTTATTGCAACGTTTCGGCCCTTGTACACTCCGGCCTTCTTCAGGTAGTTGGAATATCGAACTGAACCCTTTCTTCCGCTCACTAGTTTCACGTGCCATGTTTTTATTGGATGTCAGTTATCAGTTATCTCCTGTTAATTTCCCTCTCCAATTTCTCCACTGCTTAACTGTTTGGGTCCTGTCACTGGATCTAACCAATGCCCTTATCCACTATATCGTGTGTCCTTGAGAACAACTATGGAAATTTCTGGGTATTATAAACCTAATGTCTTCAGCAACCTTTTTTACCAGTGCTCATATTCCAATTTTCGCTGTTATCATGCGTGTTTTTACCAGAGCTCATATTGCAATTTTTGCTGTTATTATCGCTTTTCCTTGGCACTGCTTATCACTAGTTACCATATTGTATTCATTTCTATGCTTGGTCGACTCAAAAGATTTCTGTAGCCTCGAATATGTGCTGATTCCTTAAGTTTCCGAATTTTCCAATGGCGTTCTTTGTCTATGATTTCAACCTGATCCCACAGAGGTCGGTGATCTCCGTTTTCTCTCCGTATGTGTTCAGTCACGCCAGATTTTTCCACTTCCCCTCGTTTTACAGCTTTCTGGTGTCCTTGAAGCCTTGCCGTATGGGGACGGCCTGTTTCCTCTTTATATTTCACTCCGCAGCTTCACGGGATAGCGTACACACAGTCTTTACTCTTTAGTATTTGCAATACGAGCACTGGTAAAAATTGTTGCTGAAGACATTAGGTTTATAATACCTAGAAATTCATACACAGATGTCCTCAAGGACACATGGCACGGTGGATAAAGGCATTGGTTAGATCCAGTCACAGAACCCAAACAGTGTGAGTTCAATAGCCGGTTGAGACAGAGAAGAGTGGAATTAACAGGAGATAACTGATAACTCACATCCATTAAAACATAATACGTGGAACTAGAACAGTGAGCGAAATAAAGGGTTCAGATCGTCTATTGTGTGTGTATGTCACCACAAAATGTATTCTTTCCGGTTACATCTTTAATGTATTAGACATCCAACAACATTCATATTTCTCTCACTTAAACCGTCTTCAACTCACCTCTCTAAAACTTCTCTCTGTTAAATTTGAATCCCCCACCTTCTCTCGTCTGTTACTTCTCTCTATAGCTCTAACATTCGTCCCACACTCTCATACTTACACTCTCTCTAAATTTTATTTTTTATTTCCGGAGTTGTTTTTTTTCTGTTTTCCTTTTGAATTTGTAGGTCTGATGAATTGGATCGTATTTACAATTCCAATGGAATAAATTATGACCATGAAATATTAGTGTTTAAGCCTTTTTATTATATCCTTACTCTGTCCTGGACATTGAGTTCTACCTGGATTCTATCCTCTTGGAATTTTTTTATACAAAATATATATGTATGTGTATGCATGTATGTATACATATTTATATATTTTGCATATGTATGTGTATATTTACCTTATTATCTATCTATCTATCTATCTATCTATATATATATATATATATATATATATATATATATAAGTGTGTGTGCGTATATATATATATATATAAGTGTGCGTAAATATATATATATATATATATATATATATAAGTGTGTGTGTGTGCGTGCGTATGTGTATGTGCGCGCTTGCGCGTGTTTGGCGCGTCGTGTGCGTGTGTTCGCGCTTGTGTGTGCGTGTGTTCGCGCTTGTGTGTGTGTGTGTGTGTGTGTGTGTGTGTGTGTGTGTGTGTGTGTGTGTGTGTGTGTGTGTGTGTGTGTTTGTAATTAATTATGTATGCATTTTACAAATACCTGGGCTAAAACAAAGAAACAGCCAGGCAATGTGGAATGTCTATCCAGACGTGTTGCTGTTTATCCGCCAATAATGTGAGTTAGTCTGTCTGTCAAACACAGATGTAGCAAGTTGAACAGGCTAACAATCCCTTAACAACAATTATGTGAAATGTGAAGAGTTTATAAAAGTCGATCTGTATTAACAAAACGCCTGACTGTTCATCGGTCCGCTGACACTGACAAAGGCCACAACGAAATAACACAGGCGTCATATTTTTTCAGCCATGTCTGCAGAAAAACATGTAAGTAAACTGCTGGTTTCAAAAGCTAGTGTCGGTCTAGTGACTGATAATAGCAAAGTAAGTAAAATGTCAACGATGCCGATGCTACTTTGTTGAGTAGACATTCAACAGGCATGCGTTCAAGACCTCGTCAAAGTTGATATTACATAGTTGTCAATTTAATATTGCACTGAAATTAACAGAGAATATTTTCCCTTGATTTTACTAATAACCACACTTTTTAAACAAGAATCCTCATATACTAAATACAATCCGCATTTAGCGACGTATCTGGTAATAGGACAATGTGAATGAATGTTGACTGGTAATTTTATGAATGGTAAGAACTCTAAGTAAGCATGACAAGTTTCGAATGATGTTTATTGCTAAGCGCACGTGTTTCCTTTCCCTTTTGCTTCCTTCCATTGTAACTATTCATTATCTATCTATCTATCTATCTATCTATCTATCTATCTATATATATATATATATATATATATATATATATATTCTTGAAGCTATATACATAAAAGAGTGGAAACATAACCTGAGTAAACAAACGATGAAATCTCCACAAATATTCTTAAATGCCAATAATTTATAACAGAAACCATTGGTTTATAGCAACGACTTCCCATATTCAATACTTCACGTTTTAGCTCTCACGTGCTCATGCATGACGTCATGACCTGCCGTGCGATTTTCGCTTCCAGCGTCTCGTATGCACGAATTTGTCGTTTCTTGGAAATCTTCCAGGCAAACATAAACAGATTATCATTATTGTTTTGTCCGTGTATTGCTTAATATATTGTAATGTAATTGTAATTTTGATAATGGCTTATGTAAGCTGAAAGCTTAGATAGGATTAAAAATATGTATCAATATTGTAATTTTCTTTTATCTTTTAATGATAACGTTATTAAGCTTATCAGACGATATGAAAAGATATGCTGCCTATATACACACACTATATATGTGTTTTTATATATATATAAAAATGAACATTAAAGTCAACACTCAGAAGCGACAGGCTGTTTCATGCTAAACGCATTCGTATTCATACTTGCATACACTCAATCTCTGATGTTGCGCAATTTATCCCATAAATATAGCACACCTTAAGACTATATTTCTTCACACACACTCATACACAGACACACTCTCTCACACACACACACACACACACACACACACACACACATATATATATATATATATATATATATATATATAATTTCTTAACTGTAAATATCAATTATTAATGTAGTTTCACCAAATTCGAAGTTTGTTTGATTTTTGTTTTTTTAAGCATTTCACCCGAAGCAAGTTGGCAGTGCCTATGGTTTGCAGAGGTGTTCATAGAGTGAAGTTGAAAGAAAAATTCTGTATACGGGAAATGAGAATTAACTATTTCAACAGTAAAAGTACAGGCTCTCGAGAAAGTAGTTGAGCAACATGCTCCATAAGTTTTCTATGGGGTTGAGGTCAGGTGATTGGGGCGGCCATGTCATAACACTCACCTTCTTCTCATCAAAGTATTCCTTCATCAATTTTGATTTGTGACAGGGAGCATTATCCTGCATAAAAATGAGCTTGGTGGGAGCAGACGACTGTAAAATTCTCTTGGACAGCTCCCTCCTGCGGGTTTTTTCAACAGGTTTTAAGAAACCAGTTCCATGAAAAGAAAAGCATCCCCAGAACATTATACTGAATGGATGCTTGACAGTACTTACTGCTAAATTCAAAGAGCTTTCAAAGCTTCTTCTTCGGATTTTAAATCGCTTATCCTTTGAATTTAGCTCAACTTTCGTTTTATCGGAGAAGATAACATTTAGCAAAAAAAATCAAGTGAGTCACTTTTATCGAACAGTACTGTACATATATATTCAAGTTATATTTATTTATTTAAGTATTATTATTATTATTATCATTATTATTATTATTATTATTATTATTATTATTTTCTTTGATTTCTGGTGTTTACACATTTCTTTCCGGGTCCCGCCCATGGACCTAAGGTTAGAAATGGCATCATGACACTTTCCACTGACAAAAAAAAAAATTACATAGATAAAGCCCTTCGTAAAGTGTGGGCTGTACTTGTCAGAACAATTTTTTGTATCTCCTTGAGGCATGGACTTCCAGGAATCCCTTCAATTAGTCTACTTCAATTAGTCTACTGCAATCTTTTCCAACCAGTCCTAGGGCTCCAACTACAACAGGGATTGTTGATGTTCCCATATGCCACATTTTCGAGATTTCTATTTCAAGGTACTTTTATTTTGACAACTTTTTGAATATCTTCAATGATACATTGCATTCAGCAGGGACTATTATTATTATTATTATTATTATTATTATTATTATTGTGGTTGTTGTTGTTGTTGTTACTATTATTATTATTTTATAAATGAACAACGAAAAATAGTTTTTTGGCGACTAAGTATAACTTTGTATTCCATCATTTAGAGTCTATAGGTAGAACGTTCTTTCACAGTTTGATTTACATGCTCCAGAACTCAGACAGCATACACCTGCAACTGATGTTGATGTTGCACAATAAGATTAGCTATGCATACGGTGAATTATTTCCCATGGCTTTCCTGGATTTAATTGTTTAAAGATCCGCTGAGGAGTTTCTTACAAGTGTTTATTGTAAGCCAACATTTCCTGGTTTGTATACTAATTGGAAATATTATGTACAAAAAAAAAAAAAAATAGAAAATTCAATTTGATTCATACACTGGTACATCGTGCTTTAAAGATTTGCCTCCTGTAAGTTTGGAAGAGAAGTTATCCAAGATAAATAAGTCCTCCCCGATAATGGTCATCCTGAGAATGTCCTTAGGCGGATTTTTGTTCGTAAAATTTCGAACTTCAGTTTTCTTCATATATATGGTCCTGAATTAAGAAAAATGGTCAACCTTTGATTGATCAGATCGTATCGTAAGTTTCTGGTTGTTACTGGTGAACTAAATTGCGGGTTGTTTTCTGCACCAGAAGTTGTTACGCTTATTTTCATAAGGATAACGTTCACACTTTCTGTAATAGTTCTCTTGTTTATAACTTTTTGTCAGTGTATTGGTGGTTATGTGGGAAATCTATCTTACCCCCCGGTTACGAGAGTCAACCTGCATGTTCGAAGGCGTATTAAGCGGGATGAGTATATATATATATATATATATATATATATATATATATATATATATATATATATATATATATATATATATATGCTCAACCACGGACAGACTGTTTCGCTGTATGACAGCCCCTCGGTGTGGCTAGACGTCAGATTGATTCAAGCAGGGACGGAAAACCCGACTGATTTGTCAGATATCTTACCCCTAGGCTATGGTCTCACGGCAGGAAGGAAGGGGATATATATGGTATCAAATGACAATTGGAAAAAAATCTTACATTTTGCCGACGCGTTTCGTCTTCCGACTTTTTCAAGGCAAAAATGAAATCGAAATGTTTTTGTTGTTATAGTTATATTACAAAATCCAAATTTAAAAAGATAGACGCTTCTATCTAAGCCTTTTTTCTGGTTAATGTAAATTACCTTTATAGTAAGCGATTATTATTTTTTTTTTTTTTTACCTTGGATTGAGAAAAATCTGTGAATTTAACTATATAATTTTATTTCATTTTTCCAGTTTGTGGACGGATGGATGGACTGATAAAGCCTCCCACCGTTTTTTTTTAATGATTATATCTAAATTGATTCACAATGCGAGTAAATAGCTAAGGGAATTCAAAATGCATACTTGGATACATATATGGTTCATAAATTCAGCATTTACTTGATTTAGAAGCAATAGATAGATAGATAGATAGATCGACCGATAGATAGATAGATGGATAGATAATGAATACATAGATAGATAGATAGATAGATAGATAGATATTTTGCAAGTTATTTAAAGCTATAAAATATTTTTAGGTTTTAAGAACTGTTTGGAGATAATGATGGTGTTTAACGTATAAATATTCTACTAATTAACCAATAACTTGGGAAAGACGAAGTGGATTCATACCTTTCACAAGGCGTAAGTGAATATAACGTATCCAACTATTAGTCTGCTCTCCAATTTACAATTGTTATCCATTATATCATCCGGACATTACCAAGCCGCCATCTATCTTACTTACTACTCGTCATCTTTCTCACTACTGGCCAGCGTTATTTAACTTCGGTGATCGTACGAAAAGAGGTGTGTTAACATTATATGGCCATAAATGAACAAACTAGTATAGATGGATATATAGATAGGTAAGACTGAGACAGATGGAAACAGAGAGAAAGATAAAGAAAAAAGAAAGAAGAAAGAATGCAAAAAAGAAAGAAGAAAGAATGCAAAAAAGAAAGAAAGAAAGAGACACGGAAATTTTCTCTTCTTCAATAAAATATTTTATCATACCGAAAAATATTTTTCGCGAGTAGAATGAAATTTGATTTAATAAAGCCAAATAGAAATAACCAAAGACTAATGACTATTGTGAAATCCTGATTTATGTCATTTTATAGTGAATTGTAGTTTGGGTCAGACATTGGCGTTCGTTGGTTGCTAAATTCAATAATGTTTCTAAATAATAAATCGATTTTTCACTTCATTACTTTAAAATTGAAAGAAAATATGAAAAAGAGATGTAGTCATTCATTCTTTCTAATTTTGGGAAAAGCACAATTAAATCAGGCAAATTTTTGCAGTATTCAGTGGTCCAATTTGTCAAATTTTCCAAAACAAAAATTAGTTTTCTCACAAAAATGATTCCGGGCATTCTTCTGAGAGTATCATAGATTTTGACGATTTCCAATGAACTTACAACATCTTGAATTGATAAAGCAATACCGAAATAATTATTTTCTGTAATACTGAACAAATAAGATATTATAGGATTTGTTTGTGCTTACACACATACACACACACACACACACACACACACACGCGCGCATATATATATTTTTACAGTAAGTTTCACCATTAATAAGACCTAGGTGCCACTCAATGTAGATGGTTATGGTAGGAGGCCATTTATGTGCATAGGAGTGGGATTACAGTTAACCCAAGCTTTGAACAGGTTAAGATTGGAGTAATCCGGAAACATCCTGTTCTGAGTCCTGTCAGATGAAGAAGCTACTCGATTTGACCTTAATTCTCACCGATGGAATGCGGAGAGAATGTGTTTGGTTTGCTACTATGCAAGAGTCGTGATCTGTTTTTGCCGTGAATATTTGAATTGGCGGGACCAGTGAATGTAATTCATCCGAGCAGAATTAGTGGTGGAGCAAAGAGGGGTTTCCGCATCCTGCTTGTGGAGGAGAGTCTGAAGGGTGGAAAATAATTTGTCACCCGCAAGGGCACGGACACGCATTTGGACAAGTCACGGCTAGAGAGAGGGAGAGAGAGAGAGAGAGATATGGACAGTTCCCGCCCAAATATACCTATATACTCAAGTATAGGATTAGTGTATACGGAATAAATTCTAATAACCAAAAATATTATTCTTAAAAATGCTCAATACAGAGTAGAGCAAATATAAATTATTCGAAAATTATAATATAGATATGTTATAAAATCACTAAAAAAATATCAGTTTTGTTTCAATACTTAAAATGTTTTATCAAGTGTTGGTGTTGAACATTTTATTTTCGTAGTGATTTTTATAACATATTTATGTTATAATTTTCGAATAAATTATATATATATATATATATATATATATATATATATATATATATATATAGAGAGAGAGAGAGAGAGAGATGGGGGGGGAAGATGCCGTTACTGAAAACTTGATGTTGTGATAGAGATCCATTACATAAAACATCTGGCACCCAGTATAAATCTCACCTTACTCAATAGAGAAACTCGCGCGGCAAGGAATAAAAAATACTACTATTTAGACACGTTACTTCCCAAATGCATTATATATATATATATATATATATATATATATATATATATATGTGTGTGTGTGTGTGTGTGTGTGTGTGTGTGTGTGTGTGTGTATAATGTACAATATACAATATATTATTATTATTATTATTAAATTTAATCGAAAATTTAAACACATTTGCAAACAGTCATATATATATATATATATATATATATATATATATATATATATATATATTGTGTAAATGTGTTTAAATTTTCGATTAAATGTAATAATAATAATAATAATAATAATAATAATAATAATAATCAGCACCAAATAATTAATAAATAAATACAACATATAGTAATTTATCAATAATAAATGATTACTTAAAAGTTAATAAACAGCATCTCTATATAACAGGATTTGAATACCATTATCATTGAGAATAACTTGAAATATAGCCGCTATCAGAATAATACAACAAGCGACAAATAAATGCACCCTGACCCACCATATATTAATACACATGGCCTGAAAATTTCGTTCAACTATGAAACAGTGTCGGACTTCGTTTTTAAACTCGGTGCACCCATTTATATTTACATTTATTCTACTCTTGATATGGAGCACTGTTTCCCATAAATATAGTATACTTATATATATATATATATATATATATATATATATATATATATATATATATATATATATATATATATAGAGAGAGAGAGAGAGAGATATATGTAAATCCTGTGACCCGCAGTTGTAGTAGAAGTTGTGTTTCTTAGGCAAGATGGCCTGACGGACCTCAGAACTCTTTCAGGCCGTTTTTTGAAATCAGAGATTTTCATTCTCCTAGACCAGTTGCCACCCAAGGTTATAGAACCCAGTCTACCCTGCTTTTTAGCTATACCTGAAGGGAGAAGAAAATTCATACCTTTACCAATGGTATTAGCACGTAAGTGAAAGTAATGGATCCGACTGGAATTCGAACTAGGAGCTCCGATTCCCCAACCTTTCCATTACTCCACCGTGCGTCCATATCTTATATATATAGAGAGAGAGATCTATAAACACGCACTGTATCTGGGTATGTTTGTGTAATGCTAATGCTGGTATTAAAACTAATAGACACTGATGAAACTATTGATAATATAATACCTGTCTGCTTTACCTTATCATCAAATGAATTTAAAAGTAGGTGTAACAGAATAGCTAAATACCTACACGAGTCATGTTATTAAATAGCATCGTCAGATCGAGACATTCATATTGGCGCCAAACCTGGCCAGAAATATCTTAACAGTAACCTGTATGAAAACGCTTTCTCAGATCAATGGTTAAAATAGCTTTGAGCGAGGGAAGCCCGTAAATCTTCGCAAAGACTATCCTTCTTCGAACCTCGTGGACTAGTGCTATAAAATGACCAATAAAGAACTGTGTCAGATAAGAGAAACCACATCACTTGGGAACTTTCAATAAAAGCAACAAAGTTAAAGTTCCACGCTACTTCAAACAAAGGTTGGGAAGGAAATCCTCATCAATACTAGAAAGAGCGTTAAAAACTATCAGACTTGAGCAACCTATCTTCCAGAAAAAATATTTTGAGAGAAAGCTTTTATAAATTTCAACCGAAATTAATAATCGCTGTTCGATCAATGAATACCGAATGTTGCATTCTTAAGAAAAGGCTAATAATAGAATTAACATTGATAGTTGATTACTGCACACATAAAAGTATTAAAACTCATAACTGCTTTTAGAATATGATGATATTACTCACATAGAATGCAGTCTGCGAGTTAACAGAGCACTTATAGCTGTAAATGACTTCCATGCTAACGTATAGGCGTGAACATACTGATTGACTAAAAAAAAACAAAAAACATTGCAGCGAGAATTTTAATGGTCAAGAAATGATAATAAAAAATATTTATTCCAGATGTACATTTTATGACAAACCCATGAATCAGTCTTTATCTAAAATAGAAAAAAGTCTCTTAATGATTACAGCTCGCAAAAAATACTTTAAATGAGGAATTACGACAGAATTCTTTCCTTACGATGCGTCGTAACAAGATTTTTCTTGTAAGTCGTGACGTACCCGTGATTTATCCATGAATTAGTACTTACGCCATTTACCTATGCTAACTTAATAGTAAAGTAAATCTAGGACATAACACATTTATATGTCATCTTGTTACATAATTAGGACTAAAAACGCATGGAGTAGATAAATATAATGCATATCATGAAAAGAAAATAATGGATATAATGAAATTAAATAGAATTAAGCTTCTTTTATGTTTATTGCCAATGGTGCTTACCATCACCTCAATAGATGAAATGATGAAGCGTAAGATCTTCTCTTTCTTGCAGTACTCGAAATTACGAGTATATCTGAGGGAGAGGGAAAAACAAACGAGAATTAGTTTTTCCTTTTCATCGGGAATTCACCAAATGATAATTTAACAAGTAAATGTTTTCATCCCTTACAGGAAACTCAATGTTTATACACACATTTACATGTTTTAAGCTGCAGTCGAACTACGTAAGACAATCTTCATCGCTGTTTCTTCATTTATCAGAGCATTCAACAATGTCTAAATTCACTTCCATGGTGATGGATTTCCTTTTCTTTGAAGCTCCGCCATCAGAATTGGTTGCACAACGCCCGGGAGCCACAATGAAGGTCAATAAGTTCCTACTACAAACGCAACACAACGAAAGAGATCGAATGATCAACAGTCCACTACGGCGTGCAACCAGGAACTGACCCTCGCCGCCTTATGTACGATGCAAATGGCAGAAGTCGAAACAAGCGTAAATGAAACTGCGTCGTAGCCACGAATCAACGGAGTCTGGACTCTCGTAAACCGGGGGCTTACTGCATTTATCTTCAGGGTCAGGTGAAAGAATTGGTATGTCAATAAATCGGCGACGGAAGAAGCAAATCAAAAAGAGAAAGTAGTAAGCGTCTTTACGCCGTAATGAAAGAAGCCAACAAATTCAAAATGGAGTTTCAAATGGGCGTAGAGATACAACTACAGCACAATACACCGGCTGAAACTGCAAAATACCTAAAAAAAGACAGCAAAGACGAATGCAACCGACCAGCTACAGAAGCGATGGCAAGATAAACCGCTTCATGGCCAATACTCTGCCTGTACGAAACAAGCTGACGTAGACAAAACCCGTACCCATCAGTGGCTACGTAGTGCAGGGTTGAAAGCGGAAACTGAAGGTTTTATCCTTGCTGCGCAAGACCAATGCTTGCTAACTAGGAATTATCAAGCACATATACTAAAATATTGTGTCAGCCCCAAATGCAGATTCAGTGATAAGTATCCAGAAACGATTGATCATCTTGTATCAGGTTGCACGGTGTTGGCACCACTGAATATAAAACCCGACATGACAGAGTGGGCCAATATCTGCACTGGAAAATCTGCAACTTCTACGGGAAGGAAACTTAAAGAAACTGGTATGAACACCACCCAGACCCGGTTACGGAGATAGGCCTGTTACAATTC